CTTAGAAGCTCTGCCTACACGACAATCATCTCTATTCCGTCGGTTACCGTCGACGATTCGCAGTCATCAAAATGATTGCGGCCGATTACACGATTGCGTTAGCGCGTGCGGCCCAGGCATTTTTTTCACGGGCGACGCAGACGTCTCGGCGCTGCACCGCGACGGCCGATCCTCGTTTACGGGAGCGTCGCGCCACGTCGCGTCGCGCGGCTAACGGTCGAGCAACTCGCGGCGACGAAAATTCAATGAGCACGGGCTGGGCTCTCGTCGGAGGAGAAACGAGGGGCGGCCAACGGAATCTCGTTATCCGTGCAAAGTGTTCCGTGAAATGATCGAGTTTCGAAGTTTAAACGAGCACGAAGTTGGTATTTAACGCAGTCGCACGGGGAACCGTTGTTGTTTGCCCGGGTAATTGAAGCTTTCGAGCGGCGCTTGCGGTTTTCAGGCGACCGCAATCTCCTTTTGCTTCTAATTTCTTTGGAAATTGGGGGGATGCCGGGGGTATCAAGAGAGAAACGGGTTACCTTGGCTCGTTCTTCAAAGCTCTTTTTCCCGCGGATAATCTGAATAATTCCGACCGGGACTTTATCGCAAGTCTATGGCCCATTCAAACCGCGAAGAATTCTGTTTGGAACTAATTATGATAATTGGGACGAAATAGATAAAGAATCGAGGCTCGGCCCGGTCATGCTGCATTCGCAGTGTCATCGTTGGAGGTTTGGTGATATTTGGTCGCTGTATTGTTAAGGGGGTATAAAGGTAAACTGTAAATTGAACGATATTCTAGGGAAACCTGTAAACTAAGACTAAGTTGGTGCTTATAAAAAAAATGGATTTTTTTAATGAGATTCTGGTTTTGTTAACAAAACCATTTTCTATATGAATTTTTACTCTACTTTTTTCATTATGATGAATGAATAGAAATCGTTCTATGAGAGAAACATGTTTTAGGATAGGACTATTATCTGTCTTTTTTTAAATTTGAACAAAATTCTGATAACAGGTAGCTATTAACAAGGTTAATAGAAATAAATCTTATTTTTTTTTTATTTTGAATACAATTTTTAGATATATGTACACTCACTGTGCAGCTACTCAAAACACAAAGAGATTCAGAGATGCATTAAAAAATTTCTAAGATATAATTTCTTTAACCCAAACATTTTGCCTCATTACCATGTAATAAGATATTTGTATCAAGTTACCACACTAAAAATATTCTATAAATTTTCCCAAATTCCCTTTCTCTCTTAATATAAAGTATCAGAAATTAGAAAAACTTCCCTTCCAGGGTTATGAAAAAGAATTTTCTCGAATTCCCTTTCTTATCCTAATAAAAAGCAAACTGAAAAACTACTACCAGAATGCAGCGGAGTGAATTAAATATTGATATCAAGCAGAAGTGTGGATACAATTAACCGGGAACACGCGCGAGGACCATTAGTAGCGGAGTAGCCATCAAAGTACTACCTTCGGTTTGAATAATTGCACAATCGTTCGCACGTGGGCCGGGGGGCTGGTGGCGGTGCTCGAAAGCGAGTCGATTTAATCCCCGCGATTTTTATTTACTAACCGGCGGGGCGTGGATAATCGGCGACATCAGGAAGAGAACCGGCGCGAGAGATGGATACCGGGCATTAGTCGGCGCCTGTCCTGTCTATTTTCACCGTTTCCGCCACGCTCACGATTACCGGGGGGATTACGTGTGTGCGTGTGTGTCATCGGCTCAGCTGCGACCTACGACCCTTGCGATAGCCCCGCGCGCAGATAGCGAGGCAACGGACTCCCGCTGTCTCTGAACGCGGGCGAGAGTGTCAAAACGTTCGAAGCGGGGACGGGCAGGGAACGCGCGATCGATGTCCACTCTCTCGAGCTTGGTCGGCGGACTCCCATCGATTATCGCTGGTCCCCGGTCGCCGCGCGGCGCTGCGCTGGCACGCTCGCAATTATCGGTCGGAAAATCGTCTAATCGGAAACGGCTGATCCACGCCGATAGCTATCGATCGTCCGGGAATTAAAAGGAGAGAAAAGCCATGTTGGCCGATTGGAATAATTACCGGGACCTCGGTGCGGACCTTTCATTCGACCTTTTTCTCTTCTCTTCTTTTCTCTTTCGCGTAGGAACAGCCGCGAAATTGGTCCTGCCGTTCGTGACGGGAAAGGCTGGGCGATTGATCGCGATCCAGATTTTTCAGGAGATGATTAAAACGGCTTGTCGATTACTCTGCTTTCGCGAGACCCGTTTAAAGAGCTGATGCTCCACGAATGAAAGAAAATGGGTCGAGCCCGAATCCCTCGTTCAATAGAACAGATTGATTTAATGATCGGGCTGGCCGCGCTATCGATATCGTTTCAGGGTTAACTTGTCATATCGTGAGATTGAATTAATAACGATTAGAGATTGTCACGTGGGAAACGGTTTCGAGGAAATAGAAGCGTGTCTTGTGATCTGACGTGTAGATTATCGTTTTATTATTCTTTTATTGGAAAAGGTTATATCTGTCTGAAGAGTTGCGTAGCAGTTTTCCTGTTACTATCACATCTTATGTTCTAGTCACATCGAAATAACAACCTTTCATACGCAACTAAAACTCAATCGTCGCGTGAAATTTTTTATCGGCAAAAATCTGCTAATATGTCTATTCAATTCCCAATTAAAGGAATTAACTGTGCAGAATGCTAGCTGATAAATAGTCGTTTATTAAAAGAAATTAGTTTTCTCCAGTTGGAATTTTTATGCGGGCCTGTTCATCAGTCAACATGTTAACGTCTGATTTATGGGCTTGCTAATTGACCCCGGACTTATTCTCCGCCTCGAGAAAAACGAAACGAAAGAGGACTGTTACCAACAGCGAAGTTACGTTGACACCTAATGCATGGCTAGACGGATCTACTGGCGTGTTAACTGCGACCCGGGATTATTGCTTTGTCGGTCTAATTCGTGTCAATTCGCGTGACCGGGTCGCCCGTTTAACGACACGCGGGCGACGGGCGTTGAATTCGTCGCGGCGCCCGCGGTATTAGCATCACGTGAAAACAATACGAGCGGCGAACGATCAGCCCGAACTTCCACTGGCGCATACACTATTAGCGGCGTCTACAAACCGGGACGTGGGAACAGCCGGAACGAGACCGGAATTCGGTTGTCGCGTTCAACTTCGCCAGTTAACGAGCCACTTCGCTATGTGGACTTATGATCTCGCTGCTTTGTACTGCTTGCTGGTTCACGGTACATTTGTTTTAATCAGTAGTAACCAATTAATACATTATGACAATAGCAATAGAGTTATAAAACAGTAGGATGTCAGTTGTAAGTATACAATGGGAACTTTACAGTAATCATAATATGATATTATAAATTTATGCATTTAAATAAGTATTTCGGGTATTTAATTTAGTTTAATTTTGTTTGCGTTAGGATTAGTTATTAACATCAAAGGATTACGAATAAACAATTCAAAGGAATTTTTGTGTCTATTGTAATGTCAATGGGATTTTCTAAAAGCAGACGCGCTTGTTTCTTTACAATTAAGAAAACCGTTACTACTTCAAATGAAAATGTAATATTTAGTTACTTACATTATTAAGAAATATTTTTGTTATAGCCATATACATTATGATAAAATTGTATAATTTAATTATACCAGACCAAGAATATCGAAATCACGGTTGCTTGGCACCAGACGTCAATAACCAGGTAAACGAAGTTACCCAAACATGACATCGGCCCGTCAGAGTGTTAATTAGCGTTACTAATGAAGCGTCGGAACATTCTTCGAAAACTCCAAAGCAGATCATTAGACGTTTCAACGTCGGCGCAACTTCAATTCCCAATTTCCGCCGAGCCAAAAATACATGGCGCAACGAATTGGGCTGGTTGAGAGGAGGGTTTCGAGCGGCACATTCGCGGCAAGCGAAAATAGTTTTTTCCTTGGAGTTTTAATTTTAAAACCCTTTAACGACGAGAACCGTCTCGCCGGCAGCTGCTCCCGTGGCGAATGTGGAGCAATGCGCGCGCTTTTCAGTTTAGCCAATTGACGAAACGACAACTGCGACGCGCGAGCGTCTACTCGCGACCGGCTTCGAACCCCCGGGCTCTTTTTAATGCTCTGTCGACGCCGTTGATCCATTAAACCCGCGGCTCTGGGTGAATGACTTCTCGACGAGCGAATCTATGCAACGCGCGAGGCGGCTCGTTACGTCATCGATGGATTTCGCGGCACGTGCGAACCGTTTACCTGTTGACCCGCCCTCGCACGTGTACCGGCCGCTCCGGTTTCAATTCTGTCTGCACTTGTGGACGGCCACTCCAGAGGAGGGTCGTACTTCGCTGAAGCACGAGTGTTCGCCTTACTGCAAAGTCTCGAAACTGAAGACTTTCAGTTTTCGCGCGGTATTGAATCAATAATAAATTAAATGACTTTTATTTATATTTATTTGTGGAGAGTAACGTGTATTGTAGTCACTAGTTTATATTGTTTTCATTTTTTAGTGAAATATAAATGTTACATTTCTAAACTGTTTAAAGCCTTAACTCTGTTATTCGAAGGAGTATTGATTAGTTTCAAATTGCATGTTTCTTTACGAAATTGTAATAAAAGTTCACTTGCATTATTCATTTTCTCCAACATGTAATTTCAATTAAGTTGTCTATCCGAAGGAAAACGTGAAAGAAACTAATAAATTCTCATCTCAAACCTATTACATTTTGTAGACACTAATCAAATATAGAAACTACCTGGTGTGCAATCTTTCCGAATCATTACAGAATTTTCATGAACTGCTCAGCAGTTATTTTATCTTTGGACTCGACCGAGAGAGTAATGAAAACTTCTTGGACCGCGGTCCTCCAGTTCTGCTGGAGACTGACCTTCAGACTCGTCCAAGAAGCAGACATTGTAATTATAGAGTCCCTGGGAGTGTTCCAAGTCTCTTTCTTTTAATTTCTTCGCGTGATGAAGAGGAATGGCTAAAAAACTGTTTATCTGACCTCGTTCCAGGTAAACGGGAATGGCGTTCTATCTTTCGCCAGGGCGATGCAGAGGTTCTTCAATATCGCGTTCCCGCTGGACGATCCCGTTATCGCGCCGCTCTACACCCACGTAGACACCAGAGGCTCCGGAAGGGTCTATTACGGTGAAACAGATTCACCGGAAGTGCTCGCGGGAGCCGGAGGAATGGTGCGCAACGCTTTCAAGGACGCAGCTGACTTTGTACCCACGCACACGTTCCTCGCCACCTGGCTGGACGTTGGCTACTACAACGAGAAAAGCGACAAAGTAAGTACTAATTGTATGCCGGAAACCTTTAAGCTTTAGAGGAACAGCAAAGCCTCTTTCAGTACTTTGTAGGAATCCTTTTGTAGAAAAATTTTTGACAATATATATGAGCCATTTATTTTGAAAGTGGCTTAAGTACACTTTTCAAAGAAATCGAGGTAATCGTTATAATAGTCACAATTCTACATAATCCTTTTTAAGTGAATTTAAGTCACTTTAAAAATAAACGGTTATATATGTACAGTTACTCACATTAATATTCGGGCACTGCACTATCTCTATATTTAGTGCTGTATACTAAAGGATGTGATTTAAATATCACATTGCTTATTTTACAGGAACATGAACCATTTATTATAGATAGAAAACACATAAGCAATTACTTCCTAACAATTACGTTGAATTGTAAAGCAAATCTTAAACAAAAAGTTGTCTCATTTTCACGTCACATTAATATTTGAACACTGTATACTTTCTGTATTCTAGCAATTCTTAGAAAGCGTTCGAACCAGGAAATGGGTTTGTTTTGTATACAAACCGCTAGAACATAATTCTATCTCAGTATAAAGTTATATATCAAAGCGTTCATACCTAAAATTTAACATGCCTCGAAAAGGAAAGAATACCAGCTTTGATAAAAGACAACTTGTAATATATCCTAGGGAAAAAGGTAAAAGTTATGGTGAAATGGCTCAATTATTGGTCATTACCAATCTTCATTAAGAAGAATACAGTTTCAGATATTATTAAAAGAAAAGAAAACCCTTGAAAAAACCCTATTTTTATGTAACAATATCAGTCCTCTAAAGGTTACTTCATTGCGGTAATAGGTACAGGCACGGTAGACATTTACGTTCACCCTAATCGTTATGCATTTTATCAATTTTTCTTCTAATTATTTGTAGTACTTTATTTATGTCACGTATAAGTACAATTTTAGTGCTTGTTGAATATCCTCAAATAAATCGGTACAGCGCCACATTAAATTATATTTGAACTAAGTAACTTTAGTTAATTTCGTAAATGAAACGTACAAAAAAGAACACTTCAAATCACAAATAATTCGACCGACTGGACAATTCACACACTGGCGTGAGAGGAATATTTACAATTCTGATCCAAGTAATTTTAAGTCACACAATAATTGTACATGTTATAATTTCAAACGATTGGTAATTTACTGAAGATCCACTTATCACGTGTGAACCTGCTAATTTTCACAACAGTGGGTGAATTCTTAATAACTAGACTACGGTCGTAAGTGCAAAATTTTAACGAAGATGAATTAAAGAAGAGTTCATTCCTACTTTGAGAACTTTAAAAAGTTAAAAGATAGACAGCAATGTTATTAAATTTTTTAGAAGTATTCCCTCTTTTAAATCCGCAGTCTATTGATGACATTTACTCGGACTTCTCTAGGTGAATACCTACCAAGTAGCTATCTCGTCGAATGGCACGCATTCCTATGTCGAGCTGTTGTACCCGGATAACGGTATTCAATGGATCCAAGGTGAATCGCACCCCAGCGGTCTACCGGACGCGAAGGCGCAGGCAGGATTTATGAGCGAAGGAAGAATGTACACCTTGAAGGGTTCCGGGACAGATCAGATACAGAACGTCGACAAGTGAGTCAAGGAGTCGACTGCTCGACGAACAGCCCATGACTAGTGATTCACTGCGTGGCGAGGTACTATGTTTCATTGTCTTTCAGGTGGTCGAACGTAAACAGACCAGGTCAGTGGGTATTCCAGGTTGGTCCGAATTATGATCAAGATATAAAAGTACCGGACAACATCGAGGGTAAGTGTTCATCTTTGAGGCAAAGTGAAATCGAAAGAGAGACGTAGACTGTAGCGATATTAGTGGTCTTATTTTATTCCCAACTAGCTTCAAGTAGAAAGTCCAAAATATGTTGTTCTTCAAATTGTTATTGAATTTCATATTATATACATTGTAAAAAGAGGAAAATATATTTATTTGTACTATATATTAAGACCTTACTTATGCATTTATTTATGTATAATAAGTGTTATTATTTTATTATATGTCAGTAACTGAATAATTATTACAACAAACATTTATTTAATCAAATAATTCTTATGAACTGTTATCTTAAAAACTTAATAATATCTCAATTATTGAAATTTCTGTATCAAACTTAATTTTTAATACTGTTAAAATATCAAGCCATGAAAACACAGTTACGTTTCCTTATTCGATATCCAGTTGCGTGCGAATATTATTCAAATTATGTGTCACTTTTTATACGTAAACCTCTTGTATTACGCAGACAACAGCGGTAAAAACCTTGTGGCTAGCTGTAGGACGGGAGCAACGACTTGCCACAGCAAAGCGACGTGCGTGGACTACGAAGTCGGCTTCTGCTGTCACTGCAAGGAAGGATTCTTCGGCAACGGCAAATCCTGTCAGCCGAACGGTGAGCATCGCGGTCGTCGCGAAACTTAAGGAGTCCCCTAATTATCTGTGAGCTTACATCCCTTTGATCTGTCCACGGGACATAAAAATCCGCCTTCGACGGGTCCCCCGGGTAGGCGCAATTTTAACCGTGCCTCCTTTGGAGACGCGCGTCGCCGTCGCGAAATAAACGCCCGTCCAATAACGGACGGTTCCTGTGATCTATTCACGGATTACGAGACCCGACTGTTCCTTCGATGACCTCGTAAAACACGAAATTCATACACGGGGCGCGATCCTTTGATCATGACTCCTTTTTCAACGAGTTTTTAACGGTCCGCAATTTGATGTTCACTCGAATCGTCAGGATATAGGGTTCGAAAGAAGTGGTTAAATGTTTGTAGATGTGCCGCTTCGAGTAATTGGCCGAATCTCTGGAACGATCAACAACGTTGAATTCCCGTCGAGAGACTTGCAGTGTTATGTACAAACGAAGGACGGAAGAACATACACCGCTTTGTCGCGGGTACCAAATGAAATCGGCGCTACCTTCCAACTGCTCGGCAATCTTGGCGGGGTAATCGGTTGGCTGTTCGCGAAACCTATCGGCGAAACGAAGAATGGGTATGAACTGACAGGTACTGTTTACAGTAACAGAATGTTTTTCTTCATAATTTTAAGTATTGATGTTCTTCGACATGTTCCAAATGTTGAACTGTGGTACGTTAATTTAACTGTTCTTGTCGTTTAATCGAGACTTACAAGATTTAGTAGATTATAGTTCAAAGAAACAACATAAAAAGATTAATTTGATGAACATATCAGATCGTCTAGGATCAATAGTTTTAAAGATTTATTGAGAGTTAATGGATCTGTGCATTTTCATATTAAACATGTAATAGTATCGCTATTAGTACTCTCATTTTGAATATTTCAATGTTTTATCACGTTTGTTGCATCTTGGATGGCAAATTGATAAAATCAGCAGATCTATTTAACGTATTGTAAGAGTTCTACTGATCAATAGCTACCTTCTGCAAATACGTAGCACATAGATCGTAACTTCGATGTCAACAAATTTTCAAGATTCACATGTTTTCCACAATTCAGTTCGTTTTATTATTTCATTATATGTATAAAAATAATTTCACACTAAAAAAGAAATTTTTTTCTGCATTTCTAAGCCATTTAAATTAATTTATTTTAAAAAATATATTTTCCTGGTTCTCTACATCGAGTGCAGTTTTCTAATATCTAATATTTATCTAATAATTACTATCAAAATTAAAGTCTATTGATTCGAAGTATTTTCTAATGAATCATGCACCCTACAAAAATCCGTCTAATCGAACATCTTGACTCATACATTCTTCAATCAAATTTTCTTTGTATTATAAATGTACTGAATCTAAAACAGAAACTTTATTCTTATTTCGAAGAAGTTTGCTCAAATTACTTTTCACAATACAAATCGGCTTCTCGCAATACGGCGAAGATTAACACAACAAAGCCTGAAGCCAGGACTGAATAAAACCGGACATCTGTCTTAGGTGGAGTTTTTAACCATACGGCAGTATTAACGTTCCTCCCATCGGGGGAGACAGTGACGATCCGCAGCAATTATCAAGGTCTGGACGTCTTCGGCCAGCTGAAGATGGAGGCGGAGGTGACAGGTACGTTGCCGCAACTGACGAGGGACACCCGGGTCGACTACGGTGACTACGATGAACTTTATACCAGAACGCAACCCGGCGTAATCCGCGCTCAGAGCGAGCGAACTTGTAAGCTGAACGATGGCAACGGGGAACGTGAATTAGAATTCACGCTAGACCAGACGATCGTCTATCAAGAGTGCTCGTATTTGACCGTCGACCCCGAGGACGACACGACGCGGCTCAAGTACTTCAGGGGCACGACGACTTACGAAGCTACCGAAGGCATTATACGTTTCGCGGTGAACACTAAAGTCACGCCGCTCGAGGAGGAAGACCCTTGCATTCAAGGAAGGGAAACGTGTACCGATCATAGCAGCTGCATAGTCGACGGGGACACGTTTAAGTGTGTCTGCAATCCTGGGTGTGTATCTTCGTTTGACTCGAAATTTTCCGTTTCAGCCCTATGAGGACAAATGTTGTTTTTATAGTTCTCTTTTCCTTTAATATTTAACATTAAAACTACCGAGCAATTAGAGTGACTTATTTCCAATGTTTTATCAAAATTAGAACAATACTTTTCTTGAGATTCGAAGGGTCTCTTCGATAATTTAATTACTTAATTCTCCTTCATAATTTAAATATTTGAAAAATACAAACTCTGAAATGGGCCAATTTGATTTGTCCTTTCGTTTTAGTGTTAAGAATTCGATTCTGCTACTTCTGCTGAAGGTTTTGAATACTTGAAAGACTTCTCATTTACAAAGGGCAAAGGGTTACTTTGATTCTTTAGCTTCTGATTTTGTTTAGAATTCTATTATTTAGAACTACTTTGTCGTTAGTAATTTTCTATAATTGGAAGAAATTCTGGTTTTTATTACATATCTGTATTTACTTTGAAAGTTATACAGGGGTAATAGAAGCATAATACCTTATGTCAGTTAAAAAGTTAAATAAAGTCTTTATAAGAAGTATGGCTAGATATTTTAGGGCAAAGTTAGAGTAAGATATACAGTTTTGTAAATTGATTACAAAATTTAGTTAGTGTTGCAATGTCTTATTATTCTAAATACTAAATAATGTTAAATATTAAATAGACATCAGTGCATAAGTGTAACAACTAATCGTCCTCGATGAATTTCTGCATTCTTAATAATGCAATATTAAGAATGCAGGTGATGCAGATGCGGTATTAATTAAAGTCAAAATAAAATGTGATCTTTGGGCAAGTTTTGGAGTATGATTTATCTCTAATGAATAAAGATGAATAAAAATTGATAGTAGACTTGCCAATTTATACTGAATAATCGGAAATCTCATTCACATATTCACAATCATACTTATCTCCCAAAGTAATCATTCATGTTCCTTTCACATCACACAACTATTCATTAACTATTACACAATAACTTTTCGTATCTATAATCATTTAAAATATAATCCACTATTCTTTAGATACCAATACCTGTACGAAGAAGACGGCAGCGCGATCTGCGTGGACGTGAACGAATGCACAGCCGGTAATCACATGTGTTCCCCGGATGCTCAGTGTATCAATCAAGAGGGTAGCCACACCTGTCAATGTCGACCTGGATTTTCGGGAGATGGTCGAGTTTGCGACAGTAAGTTCGTTTATTTTGAAACAGTGAAGGGTTACCATTCTCTGATAACCTTTTACCAACCATGAACAAGAGTATCGCCAGAGAGAAAATCAATACTGGTATCCTGTTGCTCTTCAGTCCTGTTTTACGCTTTGCCAGTAACCAGTGCATCTTTTGTTGCAAATTCAGGACTTCCATCCTGCGAGGACATTCGTTGCGAAAATTTTGAGCAGTGTGTTATGGTCGAGGGCGCGCCGAATTGCATTTGCATGCCAGGTTTCGAGCAAACAGAGGAGGGTTGTTACCCTTCCCAGCGTGGTAAGACAGTTTTCTGATATTCAAATTTGAGTACTGTTGTTTCCTGAGTAGATGTCCTGGTAATTGCCTTATCCTGCAATTTCCGGTAGGTTCCTGCGAAGTCGAGAACAATTGCTCGGTCAATGGTGTCTGTGTATTTAATGAAGGTTTGCAGAAGCACACGTGTATCTGTTTGCCTGAGCATTTTGGTAAGTTTTCTTGTATCGTCGTTCTTTTACTTCTTACGTGATTTTTGTATTATTAGAAAAGTAATTCACCAAAATTATATTCTTCTCTTATAGTGTTAACTCAGGAATTTAAAAAAACTAGCTTACAAACATATAATAAATATTATGTTGAAATTGAACAATTCAGCGATCTTTGTTCGAGACTGTTTTAAAAAAGGAGCATTTAAAGAAAAACAAGTTTTTGATCAATCTAGAATTTCAGAAATTGTTGCAGAATTTATTTCGAAATAATATTAGTTCCTTTTAATTTTTTAATATGAATTTGTTTTAAGTTTTACAATGATTTTATTTACATCATTCGATTTTTCTAACTTTTAATATTCCAACACTATAAGTAATTTGTTACTACATTGTGTCTGCGCTTAAAAACAACGAATAAATAACTGTAATATAAAAAACTTTAATTTCTACCAAGGTGTGCGCCTTTACGCTTATAATTTATATTAAACATGTTTTTCTATCCCTAATACTTTACTTTCAAGCACTCACATGTTCTGCATTAAACAATTTTACAACGTGTATGCGTCAAACACCCAAGGAATACTTTTTAAACAGTAATACAAACTAGATTACTGTACGGAATGCCCTGTTACACTATTACTAAAAAAATGGCAATTTTATGACTTGAATCATTATATTTTACAATTGTTCAGATACAATAAATTTTCTTTTCACATTAGTTTCACACAGAACAATATTTAAACATCAATAAATTCAAACCAACTCAAACTACATTGAAATAACATTCTCTTGAATGGACGAGTTTCACTCAATAAAAGAGTTAATTAAATATATACTTTGAATATGTAGAATTTCTCGTTGGTAAGAATACAAAAGAGACTTCGCAGCAATTTGCTTTCGAAATGGATTACAAAGGGACTGGGTGGTGAACAATTTCTAGGAAATGGTTAGAATGGAATTCTCGTTTCGCAGAATCTCGTTCCGCCTGCAAATCCGCGGATCTGCGTGTTTTCGTAATCAGCTTCCGTTCCAATGATTACAATTGCTTCCAGGTGATGGTTACACGTGCTATGCGGAAACGGATGTGACCACAACGGACGAACCACCAAAACCACGGTGCTTGGAAGATGTGTGCTTGTGCCCGGATGGCTGGGACTACCAGAATGACGAATGCGTGCGGCAGGAAGAGGCACATACGACCGTCACCTATGACCGAGACTGTAAGTACCGAGAATAATATCTCCTAAATTTCCTCTTGGAAAATTATTTAATGCGGATTTCATTCGAATCAGCATGATCTACCGAATTGGAGCAACAATTCTTGTCTTTTCCTCCCTTTTTTAAAAATATTCCTGCTTTGATCGAGGAATGTAAACGAACTTTACATGCACGAGACTGTTAATGGTTTACAAGTTTGAAATATAGTAAGGGAAGTATAAGCTTCTTAAAGTTCAATCCTTTGGGGAAGAAGTTACGTTAAAGTGAAAGGATTGGCGAAAAAAAAGGAACGCGAGCGTGTAAAAAGATCTGAAGAATTCGTGGCCGGCGAATTTGCTTGAGAAAAATGTACAGTGCGAGAGGGCGGTATTTGTAGAATATTTCAATCTTTCGCTCATTATTCGTAATTTTTAATATTTCAACTGAGCGGAAAATTATTTGAATCTGTCGGTACCTTCGTGGAGGGCGAAATTCTTGTGATGTTTTATACGAGTCAATTTTAACATTCTATCGTGTTTCGCTTTTAATAGTAGATATTTTGTATTTTGTTTTTAAATGTGTATATTTCATCTACGCTCAGAAATGTATTATTTGTTTGTAAAATACCATCAAACGTTTCGATTCAATTTTTAATAAAATAGTATCTGATGTTTGTAATTTACGAATAATTTACAATTTATATACTATATAACAATTGTTTGTACCCTTTAGAGAACTTTTATTTAGATTTTTTTCCGTGACGATGTTCTCGCTTGTATAAACGCTGCTATTTTACATTCAAATGAATAAGCTTCGGGCCCTGTTTTAATATCCATTGTACTCGGTACAGATAAAAGGTTTGAGTCCTTCACAGAACATGTAAAATGCGTCTACATGTTTGTTATACATAAATAGCGATTTCAATCATATTTTTCTCTGAATGAAGGTGCTTACAAACACAAACTGTCATTACAATTTTGTGTATTTGATGCCAAGCATTTCTAAAATAATTTATCGCGTGTAAAGTTTCCGATTCAGCGTAGACAAACTAAACTTGGCTAAAACTTGTCTTAGAATTTAATCAATAACTGTTTCTCCATTAGTATCTATTTAATATTTCAAACACAGTGTGAAACATGTGATAAAGTAATAAGTATATGTTGCTTGTCCATAGAACAATACCATACCAGACAACATAATAAGAAAGAATACATAAGAGCTATATGTGCAAATTCACTTTTTACTTCAGATTCTGATCATATGTGACATAAATGGCTGACGAAATTCTTTGCCTTAATTGAAAAACTAATTGTTACAGTGATACGTCGACTAGTTCAGACTTCATTAAAAATTACAAAATACAAGAAGATTAAAAGAATAATCATCACTATTCAATTTCTACTTCACATAGTTGACATAGTTTTTACAAGTGCTGGTTTTTCAGGTAACGTGTTAACACTAGAACTATCGAATAATCGAATTACCTTCTTCTAATTTTTGTATAGAAACTCCAAAAGTCCATTTATTGAGATTTCGACTGACTCATAATTCCGTCTGCGTATTACGAAAACAATGAACGAAAATGAAAAACAAATTACTCAGAGAAATATTTCTTGCCTTTTCAATAATTGTAAAAGAAAAAATCAGGGTTATTTTGATCTGATAGCTCTAGTATCAAAGAAATTATTGCCTGAAAACAAAAATAAACATTTCTCACTGTACATCAATTAAACGTATTTGATTAATTTCTTGAACGATCCTCAAGGGATTGACATTGCCGAGTGAAGAAAATGCATGACTTCTAATCGCACGTAAGATTCGATCCGAGTACGTCGTGGTTGCACGAAGTCACGTTGCGAACCAACAGATTACCATAGCAGAGTAGAGACACTCGCTAACCGCTCGCGACGAACGGTCTGCATCGTGCGTTCTAGTATTGGCACGTCCGACTCCGGAATGCTTCGAAGACTCCTGCATATGTCCCTGGGGATACGATTACAACCACACGGAGGAGATTTGCGTGCCCCGGCCCGGATACAACCACGAAACGATGGGTCCATCAGGATTTCACTGTACGACGGGTTCGCTTTGCTTCTGCTAATTCGGCCAATTAACAGTTTGCGGCACGAGCGCCACGCTTCATGCACACTTTAATTAATTCCGCCTACGTTGCACTTTATTCTTCTACTCGAACGATCGAATTTATTTATCGAGGTTTCGACGGGCTGTCCATTGAGAAGAAACGTTGTTTTAATGTCGATGGAACATTCGATTCCTTTGTCTTTCGCGAAACATATAACGCAAAATATCATTTTTAATTGATTGATTCAAAGCTAGCAACGAACAATCCAAACGTTTCGCCGGGTATTCGATTAAAACGATACCAGAGGAATTCGTAGTAACGGTAGAATCGCTTGAAGGAATCCCGCACGTCTCTCTCGGAATGTAAATTCGATTGTTGCCACTGATCCGCAAAGCCGCTTCATAAATTTCGGACGTGAGGCCGTCCAGTGTTACCGGCGTTATCATAATTCCGCACGCTTGTGTCTAGCATCGTGCAACGTGGTGAACAGGTGTCATCCCTACGCGCAGTGTGTATATGTGACGAGTACCGGCGACTACGAGTGCCGCTGCAATACAGGCTACGAGGGCGATGGCACAGAGTGCACGAAAAGAGGTACGTCGGGGACTTGCTTCCATTTTTCAATGTTTCTTCCATATCATTCATCGAGCGACGTGGTAATTATCAATGTCCGGTGAAGTGAAAATGGATTGTTATTCTGGCACAGAAGTGTCCTGTTTGGATGTGGACATCTGCGACCCGAACGCGTCCTGCCAGCATGAGGAGCCGCTGGCCAAATGCGTGTGCAATCCTGGATACGAAGGAGATGGAACCACTTGCAGTCCCATTGGTCATATCGTACAATTTTTTTTCATTTTTTTTTTATCGTTCTTTAAGACACTGTAGTCGACACTTTTACGGTAACCGACACTTTAGACAGTCTTCTCACTCGCTAGTTTTGCACGCAGAAAATACAGAACGTCGCATCTGCGCTCGCAGTCGCGTGACCGCATGATTGCCTGGAAAACTTTCCTTAATAATTCTGTCTAAAGCTGTGCTGTTCATCACACAAGTCCATTTTCAAGATTCATCCAGCCTCTGTATTATTGAAATATGAATCTATGGACGATGATTCGTACTTCATTCAATTCTGAGTCGTTTCATCGTGTTCACCTGTTTTATTTTTTAAACAAATAGAAATAAACAAACAGATTTGATCGGGCAATTATGGCGACGAACCCTATTCGTCTTGTATATGTGAAATCGTCAATTTCTCGAAATTAGAATTATTCAAGATTCTATTGAATCAAAATGTTTTCTGTTTGGACATATACTTGCCGATGTCCAACTAAATAATTTATTCTTTCCCGACAAAGATCAACATCTGTTGAATAAACAAGTTCGTTGAATACGCCACGTAAAAATCCATTTCTCATATTTCATAAAATTCCTAAATAGATGACAATCTCTTATAGAAACATTCGACTTAAGTTTTCCTTACTCGTGTAGTTCTTATACAGGATGTTAATTTTAACTCGAGTATCTAAATTATTTCCGCCATTATTGAAACTAAGAAAAAATGACTAAATAAGACTGTTCGGGCCGATTTGTACGGGGTTTATGGCAGGGATTAGAAGCACAGCTATTTTTGAGAATTCGTAAATTTAGTTTCTTTTTTGCCATCTGGACGACACTCGCCGGATGGTACGCTCTTTACAATTTTTACTCTTTGTCGTAGCATTTGTCGATACCTTTAGTTTCTTGCACGCATTTTTCGTTGGTCTCAATAGTTATTGCCCTGCTGTAAACCTTCACGGCCTGAGCATGTCAGCAAGAACCATGGGTCGCCCAACGGTTTCCGCGGCCGATGCAGGGTCAGGAAACCGTCTCTGGTGTTGACCAGATGCGTCGTCCACCATCGCCGAATTCTCGAGTCTCTCCCCCCTTGGAAAATCTCACGACCCCTTCCTCAAGGAAACACGCCGAGGGCGTAAAGGAAGCGGTACCTTCTAACTTAGGTTCGCTGATTGGACTTTCCCAAAAATTGGAAGAACCAATCAGTGGACAATTGCAAATTCCAAGGGGGAGCTGAGAAGCACTCGCGAGTTCGAAAAGCATTCGTATAGCAACCACCGACTAGAAAAGACACACTTCGAAAACTTGTAAACCGGCTAAGTTGTACAAATACAGTCCACTATATTTTCGCTAGGTCGCGAGTTCTAAATCATTCACGAGATAGACCGCGACCCCTAACAAAGACGACCTGCACAGGATGTTTTTTATCGCCATCAGATGCACGCCTGAACCTTCCAACTACTATACGCCACTATAGTGGCTTTCGTGTATATCATCTTTTTAAACGATACGCCACTATACCCGCTCAATTTTTTCTTTGTCATCGATATCTGTGTACATTATACCCTAATCTAACGTAACTGTACAATGAAAATTCTATCAGCCTCAAATCACAGTGTTACATTTATGATACGCAGACCGCGTCAACCTTGCCGTACAGAGGTATATCTTCAAGGCTAGTCCCGCCGTAGCTGAAAGGTTAAAACCATGTACATCCTATTTAGTCATTTTTTCTTACTTTCAACAACAACGGAAATAATTTAGCTATTCTAGTTAAAATTAACTCTATGTATATCATTTGTACACAGAACCACACTCTTCTGGTTTGAATTCACTCATATTAATCCTAGATACCATTGTTACAATATGCATTTTATATAATACAGACGAATGCAGCGGAAATACTGACTGCCAGGAGAACGAAAGATGCTTGTACAATCCGACCAGCTCCCGTTACGAGTGCAGCTGCTCCGCTGGATATAGCATGGTGGACGGTCGGTGCGTGGTGTCCGACTGTTCCACGAAGCCTTCTCAGTGCCACGTGAATGCTCGGTGCGTGTCGGCTGGGGATGGTGGCTACAAATGCGTCTGCAGCGAGGGCTACAACGGGGACGGAGTGCGACAGTGCGTCGAGGATCATATCGGCTGCAACGTACTGAATAATTGCGGCAGGAACGCGTTCTGCGGATACAACCAAACCTCCGCAAACTTCGCGTGCATCTGCCAAACGGTAGGCTTATTGGATCTTGGTGTCTTAGACGTAAGGTCGCATTCTTGTCGGTTATCGATCGAGTATCGATAAGGCCGTAGGTATTTCCCCCGCAAATTGAACTAATATAGCAATATAGAGATTTCCACGTGGAACACGCGCTTTGTCGCCACGGGACAACGCTCTGCTGAAAATCGCGATCGGGATCACGAGAGCAGGAATTACTCTGTTTACTAATGCGATAGTTTAGACGGAGTTGAATGCAGTTCCGAGGAACTCCATCAAGTAGTAACGGAGCCCCACGAATCAGCCGGCGCACGGATGAACGGCTGCGAGTAGACTGTGACAGTAGTGGCTGACAGTTTACGATCAGACACCGCGGTCGGAAATAGTTCGGGACGCAGGAGGTTTAATAGTAAACGGATGATTGTTCTTGTTTGTTTTATTGCGGTTTCTTCTGATACTAGCTCTGTACCTTATTTTTGTGTGCACTATATTGGTATAAACTTGAAATAGAAGAGTATAATTAATGGTTTACCAGGTATTGATAGGCTCTTTACTAAGTTGTAACTTTATATTGGAAAGTGGTTGTAATTGGTATTGTTATTGAAACTTTGTTAAATTATGGAGATAATTTATACTATGAATTACGAATGATTTTAATACTGGGACTAGTAAATAGGTTAAGATAATCAATTTTAGATTTCTTCTGCAATATTTATTAAAGATTATACAGATACTCTTTCGAAAAATTATTAAATAAATTAGTTTATTAATGAGTGTTTCAGAAATCAATCGAAATAGTTAATTAAAACAGCGATAACTGCATATTTTATATTCTGTATTAAAAAAATATCAATATAGCAAACAAGAAACAGACAATTTAATGCTTGGTAGCTCATGTTAATGTGTATGTTTTCTCGTGCGTAATTTGTTTGCCACTTTTGCTATTTATAGTCACCAACTAAACTTTCGCGTAGTTTTCAACATTAATTGTATCGTACAACATATACGTAGTAAGAGTTCCTCACTCTAGCTATTTGTTTTGCATTTAAACGACTTCATAACAGTATCAATAACTTTAAGAAAGTCACCTGCAATTATAGCGTAATCAATGCAACAGCAAAAGGGTTGACCTTAAAACGCTTAAAACATGGGATCGTTTAATCCAAAGGTTAAAGGATCTAAAATTTCAAATCTAGTATGTCGAATCGTGAAAGTCGATACATAGACCACTTTTGACATAAACTAGACACAATACTGTTTAAAAGCTTTCAAAGGAAGAATATCGTAGAACATAAGGTTCCTCTGATATTTATTTTTTTTAACAGAAAAGTTTTTCTTATGACAATGAAATTTTGAATGTATTAAATTAGGTGTATTGATGTCAGCAAAAATCTTTTAGCATTCTTTAAAAGCAAAATGTGGAATACGTTCAATCCAGTAAACTGATTGGCCAAGATGACATCCATTACGTCCAACTCAACAATGTGGGAATTTTTGATCCAACATTCATGTGGTTCGTGAATAATGAACAAGACATCCATCATATTGGTACTATAAGTTCTGACCCACATTGAATGAAACATTTTCTGTCAATCCGTACAGATGATGGGCCAAAAATGTTCCATACTTTCACCTCATCGATAACATAAGGGCCAATAATTTGAATATCTAAAAGACTGTACCAAATATTTACTGTCTATGATTTTTGCCTATTTATTTGTTTCATTCATATTGAATTTTCTATTTATTCGGGTTACAATCATTTATCCAATCATGTTCCGCGAAAAATACTTTTTTAACAAATTTTTCAAATCATCCGAAAATTATTATAATATCCATTGACAAGAAACAGTGTAAGTACTTTCCGAAATGTTTAATTCGATGTTTCTAATAAATCGGCAAGCGAATGAATGAAGTCCCCTGATAACAGTTTCAGATTTCATTTTTGTTGATTTATTATATGCAGAAAGAGGCGGACGGTTACGGCCAGAAAATTGTTTTGTGTACAGCCTCAAAACTTCTCTTAAGTACTTTACAATAAAAATATATTACTTGCAAATAATAAGTAAAATAATTTAAATAATAAGTAAAATAATTTAAATAATAATAAGCTATCCTGGAATTTATTAATGCCATTACACAAAACTCACAGCTTCATTTTATGAACTATAATATTTCCGCTGTAATTGAAGTCTGGTAAAACTTTCCTTTACAAAAGTTTTATACTTTTATAAGGACCAGAGTATAGTGATACTAGTTTAATTATTGTTAATAATTTTCTTTTAAGTGTTAACGAGACAAAACAGCTAACTTTGTTCGAGCACTTTGGACACGCTTTCTGAAATTTTAAATATAATTAAAGATGTTCGTGCGGTTTTCAACTGGTTAACAAACAAGTGAAGCGTTCTTAAAAGTTATTCTAGAAACTAAACAACTTCTGTAGAAAAAATGTGTATGAACTTTTAATCATAATGGACATATTTCAATGAATAACGTTAAGTGGTATAGTTTGTAGTTTATATTCTTTTACCAGTCACCTAGCTAACAGACCTCGTACATTAATTTCCTCAACTTTAATCGTTTAAAATATGATTAGAAAGCTGACATACTGTTCTTATATTGATTTGGAACTAGATAATTATGGAATATATTTCAACATCAACTTTTGTAAACCTCTGCTTGATAGTAGACTTATTGATATTTATTGTACACTTTCTCAGAGCAATAGCTTTTCATTCATGAAGATCTTGGACGTTAGAGCTTCCAAAACACACGATTACTGTACGCATCCCCACAACTGCATCATTATTTACCACATAATGTTTACGGAAATGATTATCCGTCAAATTGACAGGTTCCATAAACTCAATATTAGCATGTTGACAGCTCTGATGGTCACCGATGACCAAAGCTTTCGAATCGCTTAAAAGTAATTACAATACGAAAATGAACGTCGAATAAGAATATTCAATATAGTAAAACAATAGCGTAATAAAAACTGAGATACCAAATCATTAATAATCAATTCTGATATCATTTTTTTAGACAGCTTTCTATAGAGTTCTCTATAGACAGTTAAAAATCAGGCAAATGCAACTGATTGCAGGGATACTATGGCGACGGTTTTACGTGTCTTCCGCAATCGTCTTGTAGACGGGAGCCAACCCTTTGCTCGCCGGACGCGACATGCGTGGCAGCCGGGGACAATCAATTCGCTTGTGTGTGCAACGATGGTTACACAGGGGACGGAGCGAACTGCAAACCACGGCCGAAACACGAATCGAACTTCCTCCTGGTCAACCAAGGAATGGCCACGATGAGGATACCGTTCACGGCGACCTACGATAACCCGGGCAGCCCGATCCATATAGCGTACACGCAAATGGCTATCGCGATCGACATCGACTGCCTAAACGGAAAAGCATACTCCAGCGACATCACTGGTAATACCTAGATACTTCGATAGCGTTTTCGTTCCAGCTCTTGCGTGAAGCACGAAATACAATGAAACCACGATTATCTGATTTAATTGGGCGATTAACAGCCAAGGTATATAAATGATCGAGACTCTGAACGATCTAGACCGTGAGAAATAGCAACTTGGTTAGTCAAATTTCTACTGTACTGTGGACAAACTGGTTAGGAAGATAAGAATATGATTTTACGACGGAAATGCACATCGGTTTCCCTTAGAATCATACTGTGTTGTGCGAGTCTCGAGTAATCGAACGGTTATTTTGTCAAATTGGTCTAAATTTGCAAAATTTAGGCTTCTTTGGCGTTAGGTCGTGAACACTACTACTCTAGATTTTATTGCCTGACGAACAAATGTTATCAAGTATAAGTGTTCAAGTATAAATTAATTGGTACCAAGTATAAATGTTCATTTCCAAATGAATTATCTCGAAATTTTGCAACTCTTCTTTATAACATAAATTTTTCCTTCGAGATGGGAGACAAAAAATCTTAATTAGAATTAAATATAACGTAGGGATTTATGGCTCCCACTTATGTTGCGTCAATCATCAGAAATATTATGAATTAGTTATCGCGATTGCGAGCCAATATTGCTAAATTATTGAAAGACAAATATATATATATTTCAAATGATAAATTGTTCACAAACAGCCTGATATAAATTTTCAATGATAACAAATTAGCAGATTGACTGCCATGATGATTACCGGGACTTCCGAGTGGTTTGAAAACGAGTACAATAAAGTGATTGACATCGAATAAAACTGATGAAGTAACTGTATAATGTAAGAGCTATGGCACTAAATCATTAATCAGTAATTAATTCAAATACCGCTTGACTTCATTATAAAAGAATAAGCAATACGAAACGCTAAAGATTCTTGCTGAAAATGAGTTGAAGTAATTCGTGAATACTGTGGATTTTTTTTCTAACTTTGCTTTACTTCTTTGTTGCGGAAGAACGTCGTATCGCTTTGAGTATACTTTGAGTATACTTACGAGTATACACGTCATCTTGAAACTCTAAAGAATGCTAACTTTTGCTATGACAAACTATATATTTTTTTAGATAAATATCTACTTTTTCTTCGTTCACTTTAGTTTTTCGTTACAATATATTACAAGTGCATTTGACCTGCATTTGAGGAGTGTACACTTCATTATTTGATTTTATTGCACGCGCAATAAAAGATTTTTGAAACTAAATCCTACACTTAACGGGTTAAATTAATTAAATTTTAAGTGAAGGGAAAATCTGTAAGGACATGCCAGAAAGTCTGTTGACCCCTTAAACGAAAAAGATCAGGACTGCATCCACTATATGTCACAGGTTCTTAAGTATAAACAGTTACCGACCTATTTTCATACATTCATTTGTGCTTAATAGTTGACACATTATCAGTAACAATCCAACAATTCGTCTGACATTCAACGGGTTAATAGTAACACCCGCGACGGAACACCAAACGAAAGTTCAACAACCGAATACACGAAACTTGCACGAGATTTATCTTGCAGGTAATCGAATAACCGAGTTAACTTACAACGGTTCGATGGCGGAGACGTTCCTACCGAAAGTAAGTAGTCCCGAGGGCCTGGCGGTCGATTGGGTTTCGAGAAATATTTTCTGGACCGACTCTGGCTCGACGACGGTGGAGGTGGCCAATCTCGAGACGAAGAAACGCAAGGTCCTCGTATCCGACGGACTGGTCAATCCTAGGGGGATAGCCGTTCACCCATACCGCGGGTTAGTATTCTTTAAGGGAATACCCGAAGTCCTGTGGATTAAAGAACCCGAACCCGCGAGTAACGTCGCGGCAATTCGGATGTAGGAAAGAGAAACATTGTAATCGTTCTCAGCCTCGGAAATTTGCCATTTTCCAGGAAGATATTCTGGTCCGATTGGAACCGTGCCTCGCCGAAATTGGAGTGGGCCAACGAAGACGGCACCGGCCGCGCAATCTTCCTTCAAGGGGATTACGTCAAGCTACCGAATTCATTAAGTATCGATTGGGCGACGGATGAGCTGTGCTGGGCGGACGCCGGGACGTTTACGATAAGTAAATACAGAACTCTCGTGAAATTCCTCTAGTGATAGGCGCCCCGTTGAGATCGTCGCCACCCTAACCCGATAATCCTTCCCCGACCACCACTCGATTTTTGATAATCGTTCGTTCGCAGGCTGCATGGAGATCGATAGCAGGGAGATTAACGTGGTAGCCAATGCGCTCACTTACCCGTTCGGTTTGGCGATCTCGCATCAGAACTATTACTGGACCGACTGGAAGACGTAAGTTGATCGAGGATTCGTTCCTTCAGCTGAATAATTTTAAACTTTTACTTGCGGGGATATAAACGACGACGTTGCTTCCGACGTGAATTGCGATCTATCATTTGTCCGCTGTCGATCTAACGATTCTGGCAGTGATCGAGGATAGCATTACGGGTGCATGTTAATCGGGAAACGTCGGAAGGAAAGTTCTGCGAAGTAGGATAGAGATCGAATACTTTAAATCATTCGTTATTTAACGACGCAGCCACAAAATCGAAGTCGCAATGAAGAGCACCGGGGACAGGAAGCCGGCCATATCGATACCACCGGGAGGAAGCGGTAAATTATACGGAATAGTCGTCGTCCCTGAGTCCTGCCCGAGAGGTAAATCAAGTTTTACGTCACCGAGCGACGTGTAACGCGTAATAAGGAATTGATGAATTGTTCCCTTAAAAATACATAAAGTTGCGGGACGTTGCAATTCAATCCCGATCGAACGGTAAGCAAATTAATACAACGGTTTCTCGTCTGTTGCGACAGTGACGAACGTTTGCCAATTCGAAAACGGAAGGTGTAACAAGGAGCAACTGTGTCTGCCGGACGGCCAAGGTGGCAGAACATGTGCGTGTGCGGATGACGCGTCTGGACCTTGCACCGACTCTCATTAAAACGACTTCAGCTGATCGCTGGAATCGAAATAAGGCAGCATGATGGTTGAAACATGCACCCAGCGAGAGCTGGGAGTATGGTTCGGCGTCGCGTCGATATCGCTCATTAAGTCGCGTGTAAATTATAATATTATTCTTGGTATGTTTAGTTTGTCGTCCACGTTTTCGAGTAACACACTTTTTGTATCTAACACAACCGCAGCGTGATGCTGGATGTATGGTGCTGCGGCATGGTGCCGCGTTATTTAATAAAAGTTTAAGATATACGTTGAGTTTTACTGACTTTAACTCCTTCTAGGTTTGTGTGGTTGGGAATTGTACGGTTACATTGTTGAAACTTGGAAAAGGTAATTCAGATGAAGAAATGTGTAAGTTTACAGTGTGAAACAAGGGTTTATGGTTTCGTTTTACGTTTGAAGGAATTGAATTTGAACTTCAGTTAAAAATGCATATTTTTTAATATACCTTGATTTACATGTCTGCTTTTTATTTATGATTTACTGTTTCTATTCACCGGATGCCATAGGCTGAGGATAATGTTAAGAGCATAATGAATTTTGATTCATATCAGACACTAAGCATTGTTTTGTAGCATGGTTATATGAGTTCTGAATAATCAAAATGTAATCTTCATTTTTTTCAACAATATTGCGGAAGTTTTTTAATGTGTTATTACATTCACAACTTCTTTAAAAAAAAAAATCTATTTTTCAATCATTTCCACAAAACATCAATTTTTATCACCAACTGTTTTTCCTTAATTTTTTCTCTGAATGATTATTTGATCAATAAGTGACAATTGCACTTTCTATTTCATAACAGTAGAATTTTAAATCTCAATAAATCTCGCCTGCTTTAAACGTAATCCCTTTCAGCATTAGCATATTCGTGAACGGAGGTACGTAATAGAATATGATACTCAACTTTTCTCCGACTTCCATTAACAATATGTATCGGCTGACATTCATTTTCCAATCGACAATCTTTCCCCAGCAACAAAACATAATTCACCCATCCGCCGTTCCACGCATATTAAAAAACCTTAAATTAATTTCTCCCCGTTCCCTGATTAGATTATTTGGTGTAAAGCGCGCAGAAAACTCGAACGCGTAAAGTGGCGACACCAGCGAGCGACACGGGAACTAAGTCAGCCGCACGTTCAAACGAATAGGGAAACAAGCTCGCTGTGAAGAAGAAAAGGGAGGAGGATGAGACGAAGCTTAATGTCGCGAACAATGACGGGTGTTAAGGTAACGCTTCGTCGATGTTACAGTCTATCCAAGGGCAGGGTGAAGGGGGACGGGGGTGGTCGAGATTGTCGCCACGGTAATGAACTGAAGGTTCACCTTTCGAGCGAAGTTCTTTGTTCGCGCGAATAAATAAACTTCCGGCGTAATAATGTGCCGCGAACCTTGCCTCGAAACGTGGAGGCCAATTACCGCGTTCATTATCGCCGTAACAGCCACCCATTTCATTTTCCCTTCTCTATATTAAGTTAATAACCAACTACTTAGAACCTTAATAAGAATAACACTGTCGGTAGCGGCGCCGTAAAAATGCAAGTCTCCGTTTTCTACGATCAATTATCTTTTCATAACGATGGTCGTCGGAGAGAAAGGAAGTGGTCGAACTTGCTGAAGAAGACCAAAGGAGGGTAAGAACAAAGATGGAGGTGAAAGAAGAGTGGCCGGTTTGAACGTTGAATCGCAAAGAGTCTGTCATCGAATAATCCAGGCAAGACAATTAAATTTTCCTTACCGCGGCTCCCTTTGTGTCACGGTTTAATTGGCCGACCGCAAAATCGGGCGGGTCGCCGCAGCCTCGCGATGCAACCCGCTTCGCTACTAGAACGAAGACGACAGATAAGACGGTCAGCCGACAGAGGACATCAAACCTGGACCCTAGCTTCCATCTTCGGAGACCAGAATCTCCGGGCAATGTGTCTCCAAGGAGTTTCCCGCAGCCGAGTTCGTCGGTTAACGATGGGATCCCGCGAATGGAAGAAAAGTGTCCGCCCTCCCGAACTTACCCAAGAAATTACGCGTCAGGGGTGTCTTTCCCTGTCCGTCTTGCCGATAAAACGAGCGAACCCGAGCTGGCTTAATAACGTCGGCGTTTGTTACACGGATCAAATATTTGACGGAGAAACAAGCGAATCGGCTGGGCCAGTTTTTTGGAAGATAAACACTCCCGCGAAAGCTAATATCGACAAACTGTCGGATACTGTTCTCATAAATATCGATGCGAACTTAACGGTACTTTCGCGAGGAGCTTTATTTAAATTGGATGCATAGCGAACGACGGGATCCGATGATTTGATCGACGAACTGGAATCTTGTTGCTTTCAAGACGTTTTTGTGATATTCAGTTATTAAGTTTAATGTGTATTTAAAGTCGAGGAACTGAAGGGTTTAGGTTTTCCCGTTCCTGTCTTAAACAATTAACTGCGTTTGACGAGTATACACGTCATCTTAAAGCTTGAAACGATACTAATTCTTTTAATGATGAATTCTTTATTTTTCCACATAAACATGTATTTCTTTTTATTTTACTTTGGTTTTTCATAAAAATATACCCTAGGTGCATTCGTCCTGCGTTTCATGAATACACACTCCATTTTTTTATTTTATTTCAGAAGTACATTGATTCTTGTTCATTGTCCGTATGTGACAAAGTGAAAGATGTAAACGTTATACTGCTTTCTCATACTTAATATAATATTTCTGATTTATTATGGGCTACTCACAAGGATTACAAAAGTGTACAGTATTATATATTAGTATTTTTTATTGATAAGTCTAACTCTTACAATTACAGTATTTTAATGGCTACAGTATATAGTTGAATTTGTTTTAATATTTACACTTTTATATAATATATACGAAACGTACTTTTATATTTATGTAATGGTTATAAGAAGAATTAAACTTTTTCGTCTGTTTTAATCCAAAGATTAAAAATATTTAATCCAAAAGAACAATAAGAGGATTTAGATACACCAAAAGTTACTAAAACAAAGTAAATAGCCGTATACAAAAATAATCAATGTAAGTAGCACAAAATAAAATAAAAGCCGTAGAAAAGTAATAAATTAAAACATCGTATGCAAAGCATCGTAGATTTACAAGTATTCTACTTGCATTTTTATTGCTAGAGTAAGCGCGGCGCGCATTTAAAACCAGGAAGAATCAGCAGGACGTTTGTCGTCGTTGGACGACAGATCCGTGCGACGTTGGTAAAAACTACCAGACGGCAGCTGGTAATCCCGTAACGAAGCACAGATAATCCAGTGTCGAAAGGGAATTTACACTTCTCCAGGGATTTCCTCTTCGAGTCTTCAACTGTTCAACGTTGCAGAAATCTTTACTGGCTGCAACCTTTGAAATTCATGAAGTATTCAGAAGGAAATTAACTTTTGTTGCCAACAAAGAATAATCAATTCAACTTAACATTCATAAACTTTCTGTTCTATTTAGAATAATGGTCCTTAATTATTTTTCATTTGTGTATCATTTGGGGATCTCTCGATCTATGTTAAACACTCATGTTAGTAATAGATTTGTAATTAATTAATGTATTTGATATATTGGAACTACAAAGAAAGGACTGAAAAAAGATTAAAAGATTAATATGATGAACAAATATTGCATATGTATTTTCCATTAACGTTTCAAAGATTCATTGAACTGCAGATATTAAATGCTTATTGTTAGTTAATTACTTAACCGATTCTTTTCCTTATCATATTCAGTTCAGAACTTGTCACCACGTTTAATTACAATGGCTTATTTATTTCATTTTTGTACTAAGGAAATTTCAATTAAAATTCTTCAAATTACAAGTGAGGGAAAAAGAATGTTGCTATGATTTAACACAAATGTTCGTTATCCTGAGTTTCATTGTCAGAGCGTTATCACAAAATGTTGCGCGACGCGGAGATGCTAACTAACTATTTACGCGAGTCGATGTTACAGCATATGACTGACCAAAACATGTCGTACGATGTCTTTGCTCTTCTCCTCGCGGCTGTCACGGTCTCCACCTTATAAAGACTCTTTCTTTCATGCGGAGGAGTCCGATTGGATTTTCCTCGATTGGTGGAAGTCTCGGAACGAAGCTTCCACCAATCAGGTTATTTTACAACTACCCGCCTACTCGTTACGCTCTCAGCGCGGTTCTTCGGAGTAGAAGTAGTTGTTAAAAATGCTTTACTTAATTTACTGGTGATGATACAGCGGGGTGTCCTCAGGACCCTGCTTTCGACGATCCAAAATTTATGTCGGCCGCTTGAGCTATTGAGACTATCGTGAGAAAGCTACGTGGACCTATCTGTCTGCCAAATATCTAAAACCGTTGGTGATACTTTCTCAAGAATAGCGTCTTACGTTGCGTATACCATAAATTTCGCTAAACACTTATGCGCCGAAAGTTCCTCTTTAAGCGCATTGTTAGCCGTTACACAAGATTTAAGAATTTAAAGAAATTTGTATTTAAGGCAGAAAGATAATAATTTCACTTGAAGTTGATGTTTTCAAATAATATAGAAATTGAAGGAAGATGGATGAAGCAAACAGGCGAACGGACAAACTGAACTGCACATACAGCAGACGAATAAATCAACTTATTCTCTGAAAGAAGTTTAGCTCGTTCTCTAAGGGAAAATAAGGAAAATTTCAAATACCTGAATTCTGTATCATTCTATGTTGTAAGTTACGATAAAACTGACTACATAAACTGAATTAATGATTACAAGTAACGAAAATATTAATTCTACGAGAAAAGTATAATCATAAAAAATATGAACAGCAACTTAACGAACATGTTAAGCCCTTCTCATATAAGAAGAAAAGTAAATGCAAACAGTTATTAGACAAAAAGTATCAAAGCATAACGGCTAAACCGAATAATTTAACAATTCATGATGAACCTTTATGTTTAATCACCCCAATCCATAATACAAGTCGTAACCCATCTCCAAAACCAAGTACTCAATACTCGTATAGCATTTCTCTTGATTCAACATCATGTCAGCTTTTTTTTCCGTAAAATACGATCAAAAGCGAGTCCATTCATGATTCGCGTGTAAGAAGGTAAAGTTGAGGAATAGGATGCACGGTGGAGCGTTTGCAAAATGGCGCAGGGCATTTCAGCGAAGATCAAAGTGCGATTTGGAATGGTGAGTCTCGAGGAAATTGAAGGAAAGTATCGCGGCGGTGAATGTTGCTGCGGCGTATAGTCGGTCAAACGATTCGTTT